AAAGGGTTTTAGAAAAGTTATGTTCGAGTGTGATTTTCTTCATATCGTTTTAACTTTTTGGCTGACCCAAGTTATTGGGGAAGTTTTGCCCATAATTGCTATATTGTTATTGAAATGAATCCATTTACCATATGTGTCCTTTATACTTTTTATTCTTATTGATCTAATAAAATTTTATAGCATTTTTATATTAAAAAAACCACGTGGGTTTTCCCAATGAATGCTTTAGGTTTTGGATTTCAATTTTATTTGCTTTGGTAAAAAGATGGTAGAGAGAAAATCAATGATGAAATAGGGCAATAAACTAGTGCCACAGGCAATTATCTTTGGTTCGGAAAAGATGGGAGGAAATTAATTGAACGACTGCTAGGCCCTTTGTAAATAGTAAATAATGAATCAACTTGCTTTATAATAGGCCATGGGCTTGGGAAATGGGCGTCTCTAGACAGCGTGTTTGGGCCCACCCAACAACAGCCTAATGTGAAGTGTCTCAGATTTATTTAAGAGACAAGATATAGTTGTTTGATAGCTTTAATCACATTTCTAGGGCTGCAGCCTGCAGGCCCAAAACACACCAACAAAACGACGTAGTAGTAGTATTCTCCGTTGCCTTTATATATTTATGACATCAGTTTTGTCCTAAACACCGATGCTAAAGTGCCTTTTGTGTGCCAAAAACACATCGACCTGGATGCCTAAACCTGCAATGACATCAGTAGTTTTAATAGTTTTGATGCTAAACATGGTTTATGGCATCAGAATTCTCTACTACACTGATGCTTTTTATGACTTACAACATCACAGAAAACAATAGTGCTGATACTATTACTAGTTATAGGCATCCGTTGTCTTATAGGTGCTACTGTTTTAAATTTTTAACTTTAGTTATTTGCGCAAAATTGAGGTTGTTATAAACAATATAGATATCACACTTTACTTAGTTACTCTCTTAAAATATCAATTCAAATAATGTTTTATTGCCCATTGCACATCAACAAACATATATTAATTTAAATATATCCATATACTTGATCCATACTTGTCTATAAGCAAAATACTTCCCTTCGTTACTTCACCACCTACTTCACCAACCAAACTAATTCAGCACCTACCTACATGTTATTAGTTCCCTTCATTATTTCACCAGCCAAAATAATTCACCAACAATGAATATGAACTAATCAACTTAACTTCTTTGTTGAACCAAACAAAAATAACATAAAAAATTCCAACTTTCAATACCTAATTAGTTAAACAGATGAATAAAGACACATTTATATTATACATGAGAGGAAAAATCAATCATGAAAGATAGGGCAATAACTATATATAGTGCCACAATGGGTTAGCTCATGTGAGCGTGCGATTATATTTTTGTTGTTATTAATTTTTGATAGTTTACGTTATAAGGTGGACGAGGATTGGACGATGATTTTTCAAAGACACACTTTTTCGCTAAGTTAAACCCCATTTGCAAGCATGCAATTATCTTTAGAAGACTGCTAAGCCCTTTGTAAATAAAGAATAAACTTGCTTCACAATAGGCATGGGCTTAGGAAATGGCTGTTATAGTCTTTAGAGAACGTATTTGTAACAGGATCAAGTGTACTTTCAGATTTATTTAAGATAAGAGATTTACACAAGATGCAATAGTTTGATAGCTTTGATCACATTTCTAAGGGCTTCAGGCCCAAGCACACAAATAAAACGACGTAGTAGTAGCACAACTCCCATCTACTGTATCAGGCTAGCAACAACACATAAAAAATAATATCCCCATCACACACAAACCCGTAGCAGAAAAAGTTCCTATCCAAGAAGAACGTCTCTAATGGAATGCAGCTCAAATGCAGCATCACTGATATTCTTCAGACGGTCCGTTGGAGATTCAGCGGAGCATTCAATTCCAATTCTAAGTATTGAATTCAAGCACACCTCAATCTTTTGAACCCTTTTCTCGTTGGTGCCTCCTTCAAAAAGTGTTGAATCTACAATCTCCATAACTCGATTAGGGAAAGCCATTTTAACATAAGCATGAAGGTTTAGGTCCCCATTAAACATGTCGTCAGTGGGTCGCTTTCCTGCGAACATCTCTAACAGAAGAATACCAAAGCTGTAGACATCCCCATTTGTTGACACGTCACTTCCCATACCGTACTCTACCATTGAAACATCATAAGATATTTATCAGCACAATTGTTAGTAAAATAGCTAAACTTGATCAGATTTAAAAAGAAAAAAAGGACACCACTTACCTGGAGCAGCATAACCAACCGTTCCTTTTATTCCAATGGAACTTGTGTGATTGTTGGAAACATTAATACCAGCTTCTTGGGAGAGAAATCTTGCGAGTCCAAAGTCAGAAACATGTCCAGTCATCTCGTTGTCCAAAAGAACATTGCTTGGCTTGAGATCACAATGAACTATCGGTGTTTCACAATGATTATGAAGATAATCCAATGCACAAGCAACATCAATGGCAATGTCTAGCCTTTGCTCTAGATTGAGTGCCTCTCTTACCTCTTCAATTTCAGTAGGAGGATGCAGCCACTCCTCCAAGCTTCCTCTGTCCATGTACTTGTAAACCAGAGCCTTGAAGTCATTACCATGAAAGTCAACACTTGAACACGCAGTTATAATCTCGACAAGATTTCGATGCTTGATGTTTCTTAAAGCCTCACATTCGGCCATGAAACTCCTCGATGCTCCATGGCGTGACAAGTTGAACACCTTCACAGCAACAAGTTGATGTTTATCATTATCATCAAGAATTCCTTTGTACACAGACCCATAACTGCCTGCACCCATCAAATTAGCCGAAGAGAACTCGTCAGTAGCGCTTAGGAGAGTTGCATATGACACTTGCGAAAAATTGCTCGCCAATGTGCTCAACGGAATCTCTTTCCTTTTCCTTCTTGACGAACAGAGGAAGAAATTGGACATCACCATAACTATTAGAAGAAGAGCAATTCCGGAAAGTACTAACGGGATTATTAATTTCGAGCCATGAGATGATCCTCCTTTTTGGGACTTGCACTTGGGCAGTTGGAGATCAGCAATTCCCCCGCAGAGCTTGGTGTTGCCAGTAATTGAAATCGCACTTGCATTTTTAAAAGCACCTCCTCCAGTTGGTACCGCTCCCCAAAATTCATTGAATGATAGGTCTAGTTTCTTCAAGAAGACAAAGTCCCCTAAGAATTTTGGAATTTCACCAGACAAATTGTTGCGAGAAAGGTCTAATTCTTCTATGCCTCTCAACCCAATCATAGATGAGGGAATAGGCCCCTTGAAGAAGTTGCCTTGCAAGTGCAAAACTTCTAAACTCTCACATGAACCAAGGCTACTAGGAAGTTCTCCAGATAACATGTTATTAGAAACGTCCAGTACACCTAGACTCTTCAACTTCCCAACCTCCGTCGGAAGAGAACCGGTAAAGTGGTTCGTGGACAAGTTTAAATAAATTGATAAGGATGGGAGGCTGATAACTTGTTGAGGTATTGCGCCGCTAAGTTTATTATTAGATAAATCCAAGTATATTAACCGCTGGCAATTCCCCAGGCTTGAAGGGATGACGCCTTCAAGATTATTTCCATTTAAGGAGAGTCTGTATAACTTGGTTAAATTTCCTAAGGAGGATGGAATGCTTCCTGATAATGCACTCATAGAAATATATAATTCCGCAAGGCTTGAAAGCTTCTGAATTTCAGTGGGAATGTTACCCGTCAAGCTATTTTCTCCCATTTCCAACGACTCCAAGTTGACCAAGTTTCCTATGTCTGTTGGGATGCTTCCATGTATTTGGTTTCTGTGAAACCAAAACTTTTCAAGTTTGGTTGAGAGATTGGATATTGATGTGGGCAACGTCCCTCCAAAATGGTTCTCATTCATACTCAACCATTTTAAGTCCGTGGAATTGGTCAAGTCCGTGAGGAAAGTCAAGTCACCCTCTGTACCGCTTCCAAAATGATTATATTGAATGAGAAAATACACTAGGTTATGAAGCTTTCGGAAATCCGGCATCTGACCTGTGAGATTGTTATTTGCAATACAAAGTGTCCGTAAACTTGTGGCATTTGATAGTGAGAGAGGAATGGATCCAAAGAATTGGTTCATAGCAATGCTAAAGATTTGGAGATTAGGAAGAGTTTTTCCCAAGTCTAATGGAATCCGCCCTTGAATTTGGTTAACTTCTACTTTAAAAACATAAAGAGCAGAGAGGTTATAGATGGAGGGAGGAATGGTACCAGATAAGTAGTTTGAGCCAGAAAACAAGTGTGTTAAGTTTTTCAATTGGCCTAGAGAAGTAGGGATGGTTCCCACCAAGTTATTTTGAGCTACATCGAGTCCCTCGAGAGACGAAAGGTTTCCCAAGGAAGGAGGGATCTCTCCTGTTAAATTATTTAAAGATAAACTAAATCTTTGAAGCTTCGACAAGGAGCCAAATTCAGATGGAATTTTACCCACTAGCCGGTTGACACTGATGTTCATGAAGATGAGGTTGGAGCAATATGATATGTTGTATGGAATAGGGCCACTAAATGAGTTGCGGTCTAGAAACAGTACCTGCAATCTACGCAAATGCCCAATTTCTGGAGGGATTTTATTGCTGAAGCTGTTGTTTTGTAGTTCTAGTGCCCTTAGGAAACTTAGGTTTCCTATGTGTGGGGATAGGGACCCTGCCAGCTTTTGAGATTGGAGGTCTAGCCTTGTGACCCTCTGGCGATGGCGTGGACCGCAGGAGACACCGTGCCACGAGCAGAAGTGAATGGATTCATTCCAGGAGCTCGTTACATTATGAGGATCTTGCTTTATTTGAGCTTTGATGGCTAGCAGTGCAAGCCTATCCGTCTGGTTGCCTCCCATTCTCAAATGCATGGAGCAAACGAACAATGCTCCATTCACAAGTGAGTATATTAACAAAATCAGTTTCAAAACCAAAACCCCCATTTTGAGTTTGATTATGAAGGCATGGCAAACTGGTTTATAAATAAAATTGAGTAATGCGCTTAACCAAGTTCGGTCATTACGATCAGCCACGGTTGACTTGCTTTCCATTAGTCACTTCCAAATTGAGAGGACTTCATTTCCTTCGAATACTGTTCTCGGGACCACTGTTTTCTCTTGTTTCATGATGACAGGGTGCCGAAGGCATCTCTCTTGTCATATGATGACAGGGTGCCGAAGGCAACTCTCTTGTCAGATGATGACGGGGTGCCGAAGGCATCGCACTCGTCTAATGATGGCGAGGTGCCGAAGGCATCGCACTCGTCTAATAATGGCGGGGTGCTCTCGCGCCTAATGATGACAGGGTGCCAAAGGCATTGCACTCGTCTAATGATGGCGAGGTGCCGAAGGCATCGCTCTCGCCGAATGATGACGGGGTGTCTAAGGCATCGCTTTAGTCTAATGATGGCGGGGTGCCGAAGGCATCTCACTTGTCTAATGATGGCTGGGTGCCGAAGGCATCTCTCGCGCCGAATGATGACTGGCTGCCGAAGGCATCGCTCTCGCCGAATGAAGAAGCTTGTAGAACAAGCTTACCAATGGTTATTGCCGATGGCTAATAGTTTTGATTTTCAACCGTACATGGGGCCATGATATGAAACATTGTTCCTTCCTCCACTTGCAACATCGACAAATAACCAATTCAGCATAGGGAGAGAGAGAGAGAGAGAGAGAGAGAGAGAGAGAGAGAGAGAGAGAGAGAGAGCGCATTTTGCAGGTGTAGGAGGAGGGCTCGCTAGTTTATTAATTAGCTAGACTTGGCGCAATAATTTTTTGGTCCATGTATGACTTGGGTTTCGAGTAATTCAAACTTGAGAGTTGAGGTTGGTTCATGTCTTTGTCAAATAAATTGTTCAGTTTTTTGATAAATGGGAAACTAATTCTTTGTTTTTAATTACTTGTACCGGAAAATTGGTAAAATTTGGTGATTATTTAGTTACATTCATGTGTATTTATGAAAGTTGAAACTCGTGTGTCTAATCTTAACAATAATAATAAAAATGATTAATTAGTTTTGACTTGTATGTGATTTTCAACAAAGCAGTTCCTTAAATTTGTTGTTTACCTGGGGGTCGTCATACTTAATCATGTGTAAATCCATAAAAACTTACATGAGAGGACTTTCTTGTTACATGGTAGGATGAGTACACGTAACATGTTATGTTTGTCTATTGCTCATTCGTTCATGCAATAAAGAAGTCTTCAGTCAAGTTTTTCATAAATTATCAAATACTGCTTCATTATTTGTTTCTTCTTCGGAAATATTGGCGGCCTTTACTTACATATTAGAGGTCTTAGGTTCGAATCCCCATAATATCATAATTGTGTGTGTGTGAAATCCCCCTCCCATGTTAGTTTAGATTATCGTTTGTACTTAAAAACAAAAGAGTAAACTAGAATTAAATTTAGAAAGAAAGAAAGAAAGAAGAAAAGTGTTCATTTTGTGGCATCCATTTTCCAATCTAAATGAATAATTGCTTACAACTTGCAGTTGGCTGCTGAATATGTCATAATACTTGCAATGAATTATACACCTAAAAATTGAATTGGGGTAGCCTTAATTATATAACCTTAATTAAAATTTTCAAGAATCACATTACCAATTTATCACAAGGGCTGCTTGCCAGGAAAGAAAAGAGAGAAAAGAACAAAATATTAACACAAGGGTAGGTGAAAACTAACTTCTCTAGCTAGGATTAATTGTACAAATTGCCACTTGAGCCGACTTTACTTTGGTAGATGACTTTAAAATCATGGAAATTTGAAGGCTCTCTTTCCGCCACAAATTTCATGCTGATGTTGCCCTCATGGTTTATAGGCACTTATTTATGGGAGAACTGTCCTGGTCGTTAGGGAAAATTCCAACTCCAATCTAGCCTTGATTGTTGGATTCAAAGTTAATAACTCCAGTCTGACTTGTAAACTGCAGTTTGTTGAGACAAATTAATGCAATTCCATGCCCTACAAGCAATTTTTTTCTTACTCACACACACAGAGTCTAAACGACTGCCTTCTGTCCTGAGAAAATTTTAGGGGATTGAATTGCATCAAGATAGATTGACCTCTAGCCATTGGTCTATGGTCTCTAACCCCATGAAAGCATGAAAAGCTCTAGAAGATGCAAAGGTTTGAAAGTACTTATGTTAAGCACGCGTCAAAATTTTATTAAAAATCACAGCACTTCATAAAGAAACAACTTGTATGTGCTTCTTTAGAAAACATTTTTATGAGTAAGAAGTATTTTAAGTTTTTCTGCCAAACATTGTTAGAAAAAATTTTAGTGCATACAACACTTTTAGCCATTTCAAAAACTTTATAGATGTAAAATCCGCTTGCATAAGTGGGTATCTTGTAAATTATTCTTGACAAAAGATGTAATATTGTAATCATTAATGTGGTCAGTACATGTATTACCAAGACCTTTTATTAAAAGTGAAATTTTTATCACACATGACGCTTTTGCTATTTGAGTTAGACTAGTTGAATATACATCTTCCTATATTAACTCAGTCTAATGATCTTTTTCTTCCTAATGCATGTTACTAATATATGTTAAAAGGATGCTCTGTGTCCATTTGGGAATTGGGATGTGATTGAATTCCTTATTGGGATAGCTTCACTTGTTTGGAAAGGAGCTCCACAGAGATCCTATCACATGTTATGTCACATTAACATATGGGATAGAGAATTCAAGAAAGATGGCTATATACCCATATGAATACAGGGTATCAGTACATGTGGGCGAGAGAATTCAAGAAAGATAAACATATACAACCATATCCATGTGGGTAGGAGACCAGAGAAACTTGGCAAAGGGCACAAGTAAATGTGCCCCCACCAAATATTTAGTTATTGCTTACGTATACGTCCATTCCTATCCTTATCTGCGATCTTTGCCTCCATGTGAGCTTCTAATCTGAAATAGATCCTTAATACATCGTCTGGTTTGTCAAATTTTGAGGCCTATGTGGCCCATGCATGAAAAAGAATTTAAATAATTGGGGTCATGTATAATTCAATTAAAATTTCCTTTTATTTAAAAAAAAAAAAGATTTAAAATTTATTTTTTGTCCAAGTTATAAAAGAGGAAGGGGATTTTGGTGTTATGAGAGTTGGAATATGAGGATTCACATTGTTGGGCTGCTGGTTTGCAAAAGCTTCCTAGAATGACTGAGTTTCTGGAACAAAGTCTTGCACTTTGGAACAAGTGGACGGGGGAGGAGGGACATGGAACTGTAAGGAAGTTTGACTAGAGGGAGAGGAGGACAAGTATGTCAGTGAAGCAGGGCTGCTTTAGAAATGAGCATAATAGACAAGGTTGTTTTTTTTTGGGTCTGAAATAGACAAGGTTAAAAAGCTACATTTTGACCCAAAAAAAAGAGAGGTTAAAAAGCTACATATATTCTCCAAATCAAATGTGACGGTGCCAAGGAATCTCATTACAGTTAAGTTGAACATCAATTTAAATAAATTTGCAATATTAGCACATGAATTAATAAGAGTGATGGATTCATAATATTTTTTGTGTAGTTGGGTTAGACGGTGACCCACTCCTACCAATGTTAATATTGTCTTTACTGCTTATTATATGTAGTATTTTATCATAAAAGTGTGAGGTTTTATCATAAAAGACATTGGTACTATTAGTAGTAGAACTACTTACTATATGTTGTATTTTATTTTAAGATGTGAACGAGGGATGCTTAACCTAATTAAGATTGAGGTTTCAATTTAGAGCAACCCCTCATAAAGTTTTGGCTGGGAGTAATTAAGGTGGGAGGGGCAAGCTACATGCATAATAAGGGGAAGTTCATTTAAGGAGAGCTTCTCCTTGAATCATAATATAATATGGAGGGGTACAAAATGATTGAAGGAGCTTCTTCAATTGGCCAGTTACTCAATTTTGGGGCCAAATTATAATTCGGGTGGGTGTGTTAGTTAGAACTTGAATAGTTCCCCATAGATTCAGGAAGTGTTTCCAAGTGAAAAAGAAATGTAAACCAAACAGAATCATGAACAAATTGGTTGGACAGAGGGACCAAATTTCCCAAATATACCTATTTTGCATAATCACTCTTTATACCTGTATCAAAACAAATTGTTTGCACCTTTACGCAATCTCCATGATTCTTGTTTCCGAAAGCAAGATGGGGAGGTAATAATTAATTAGTTTTAGTGTCTTAATTAATGGGATTTAATTTGCTTGGTGATGAGATTATGTGGGAATCACCTACCGCATGCATGCAAATTGCACAAGACAATCCGTGGACAAACCGCCACCATCATTTGGACCTTCACCCAGCTATTATTAATTTGAAAGCATTGAAAATAATGAATAAAATTGATTCTTCTCCAACTTTACCAAGTGGGTCTCAATAAGTTTATATCAAGTAGGAACCTAAGTAAAAGGTAAAAATGAATAAGAGAGTAGCCAATTTACTCTTAACGCTGGGAGTGAGAGTAGCCAATTTCCCTCTAAATTTTTTTGTAACAAAAAAAGAGAGATAAAAATAAGCACGCATAATTAATTTAGCTACCTTACTAATAGGATGCTGGTCTAATGAAGTTTGGTTATCCACTGAGAAGGTTGATAGAAAAAAAAGGACCAAGTCTAGGTATCTTGGTAGAAGAAGACCCACCATCTGCCGCCAACTCTAAGACCAAGGTTGCCTCGAAAAATTGAAGATGAATCTCACTTCATGTTAAATATTAATTCCAATTTGCATGGTTTGGTCAATTCACAAGTCATCGTAATGTAAATGTTGATTTGTGTGACATAATAGCTGATTTGTTATTCAATATGAATCCCAATTTGCATGATTTATTCAGTCGGTTACAAAGACATCAAGTTAAGGGCAAAATGGGCATTAGATGTCCATTAAGTTTTTTTTTATTTTTTTATAAAAAAAGTTGACCCATCAGCATGGCCATTAATACATGATCCTACAAAATACATGGTTTATAGAAAGTGAAATGAAAACTTCAGATCCGGGGGTCATCCTCCGGATCCCGTCAAATCTTTGGTTGTTGGTGGACTTATATCGATTTACTCTTCTTTTGGCATATCTATTGTTTAATATTTGGACTGACTTTGGTTGTGCCTCATCTTGCGATGCTGCTTTTTGAGGTGTTGTGATTTGGTCATGGTAGATCCACTTCTCATTGGTACGTTGAGGCCTTGGAGTAATTAGATGGCTCTCTCCATGTTATATCTCGAAGGAAGATTAGCGGCAGTTGATTTTCCTTTTGCCGACGTTGTTTTAGTTGTTTTTATTATTATTTTGGTTTAGTTTGTTCAATAAAGTCCATAAATTTTGAGTTTTTTTTTCTCTCATAATTTCAGAAACTTAGTTGAGTTTGCCAGGTGTTCCTTACTCTCTTTAAGAGAGTCATGCCAGTTAGCAATTAGTTTTTGTCTTTGATATCTTTGGATTAGATTAAGGGGAATTATGGTGGTTGAAAGGGGTTTTAGAAAAGTTATGTTCGAGTGTGATTCTCTCTAGATCATTTCAACTTTTTGGCTAGCTCAAGTCGCTAGGGAAGTTTTACCCATAGTTGTCATATTGTTATTGGGATGATTCCCTTTACAGTTTGTGTCATTTGTACTTTTTATTCTTATTAATCTAATAAAAATTTATCGCCTTTTTATATTAAAAAAAACCACGTGGTTTTCCCAATGAATGCTTTAGGTTTTGGATTTCAATTTTATTTGCTTTGGTAAAAAGATAGTTGAGAGAAAATCAATGATGAAATAGGCTACAGTGGCACATTGGGTTAGCTCATGTGATGTGAGCATGCAATTATCTTTGTATCGGGCCCTTTGTAAATAATGAATCATCTTGCTTTATAATAGGCCATGGGCTTGGGAAATGGACGTATTTGGACCCATCCAATAACAGCCTAATGGGGTCAAGTGTCTCAGATTTATTGAAGATAGGGAGCTTCTAGAATGCGGAGGTTATTATGAGGAGGTTATGTGCGGAATGATAACAACCGTCAGTTTCAAATGAACGGTTTAGATTTAAGTAGGAAGTTTTGTTACAACCGGGTTAAAATTACCCATCACAAAATGAGCAACCCGGAACTTCTCTCTCATATCTCCTCTTTTCTTTGAAACAGAGGTCCAAAGTCCTATGTCTGAAACTTCCTCTGGAAGACAAACAAGAGCTGCCCCTTTCCAACTTCCAGAAGCCGAATTTGCTACTCCGAAAAGAAAAAAACAAAGACACTCAACTGTGGAGAACGCTGCTGAAGGAGGAGGAACAAGGGTTGAAGCCCACAACTCAATTCTTTCACTGGTATGTGATTTTTCAGCCATATTACAAATCCTTTTATTCAAAAAATATTCTGTTTTGTTAGCCCCTGTCATTAATGTTGTAGAAAATGGCTCATCATTACCCATTACCTAAGAGCTCTCTTATTTTGTCTTTGTGTCACAAAAATTATTTGCAAGATCGTCATAGTAGAGAGAAGAAGAAAAAGAGACAAATGATATGTTGAAAGAGCCTCCAGTAGTCTCTCACTCGCCTAACTTTGCACTCCGTTTCTGAACAAGTAAAACCCAAGTTTTGAAGAACTTGCAGTACTCTTCTTCAACTCCAATTGTGATGGTAAGTCAAACACTGCAAAACCACTTCTCTTTGTTTCTAAGTTTCACTCATTTGCAAAACCACTTCTCTTTGTTTCTAAGTTTCACTCATTTTGCTTTTAATGTTTTCCAATTTCTTGTAATCATTATTATTTTTTTGTTATCTTTTGTATTTATATTTCATTTGAAAATTTGATTTTTACAGTTTTTATTTTATTTTCATACATAAATATTCTTTCTTGCTTTTAACCCCTTATTGCTTTGGGTTTTATTATGATGCCTTTAGTATATTGACTTTAAGCTTTGTTGAATCAACAATTAATAAATAATGAAAATAACAACACGTTAATCTAATGGTGATCTTTATGGGTATTGCATACATATAGTAAAAACAAGTTCTCTAAAAATATATTGGGTTTGTCCTGCCTCAATTTATTTTATGGATTTCTAATAATTGATAATCTGCTACAGGTTGACACAAGTTTGCATCTTAATTTTCCATATGTGCTCTTATGGAAAAGTTTAATTGAATCAACATAGAGGAGACATTAAACGGAAGCAAGAAACAGAAGGATCAATTTTGCTCCATAACATAGGGGAGTTGCATTCAAATTCTTGGATTTGTTGCTGGTAAGTTTTTTTTTTAAAAATCATTATAAATGTCTTTGTTTTCAACTGATGATGGTACAAGATTTAAATTGCTTTCATGATTATTTTGTTTTGTTTTAGCTATTTCTGAAATGTTTGATTCAAATGTTATCTAAGGTATCAATAATATGTGAGTAAAATGGTTGGGGACTCAGAGGAGAATGATGATTGTGTAATCGCTGATGAAATGATTTTCATTCCTGAAGTCAGAAATGAGGAAAGAACAAAAGTTGGGATGAAGTTTGATTCACTTGATTTAGTTTATGATTTCTACATAGATATGCTTTATTGGTTGGCTTTAGTATTCGATGCCATTCCAGCGAAAGGGAAAAATACAGTAAAGAAATTCTAAGAAAAGAATTTGTATGTTGCAAACAAGGTGTGTTTAAAAAAGAAGAGCCTATGGCGGTAAAAAGACACCGAGGGATAAGTAGATGTGGTTGCAAGGCTAGAGTTGTTGTTGTGAAGGTTTCTGGGTGCAAGCAGTATGCTTTCTCTCTCATTGTAGAGGGACACAATCATACGATGACGCCCCCAGAAAGAGTTCATTTTATGAGATCACACCGTCATATTTCAGAACCTGCAAAGCTACTGACAAAACAACTCGGTTCAGCTGATATACCTACTCATAAAAAGATGAGTATTTTGGAGGTGCAATCTGGAGGAATGGAGAAAATTGGTTTTACCAAAAAGGATATTTACAATTTTGAATATTATGAGAGTAGCCTAATGAAGAACCATGATGTTGAACTGGTGACTGAGTATTTTTTAGCTGAACAGAAAAACAATAGATCATTTTATTTCAAGATTGAGGGAGATTCTAATGACAGGCTTACTCGATGTTTTTGGGCAGATGCAACTTCTAGACGAGCATACGGGTTTTATGGAGATGTTGTCGTGCTCGATACCACATTCAATACGAATCGATATGGCTTGCCATTTGCACCAATGTTGGGGGTTAATAACCATGGTCAGACAATTGTTTTCGCATGTGCATTTTTAAGTAAGGAAACGACTGAGTCATTTATTTGGATGTTTGAGGAGTTTAAGAAAGCTATGCCAGGTGGTGGGCCAAAAATGATCATTACAGATCAAGATGCAGCTATGGCTAGAGCGATTTTTGAAGTATTCCCCATTACATTTCATCGACTTTGCATATGGCACATCACAACCAAGTTCTTTGATAAACTACCATGGACTGTTTATGAGGAATATTGGAAAGATTTTTAAGGAAACCATCTGGGAGATTGACAATATAGATGAATTTGAAGAAAAATGGCATGCAATTGTTACAAAATCTGGTTTGACTGACCATCCATGGCTGAGTTCAGTTTTTGATTTGCGAAAATCATGGGTTCCAGCCTATGTAAAACATATTTTTGCTGCTGGAATGTCACGCAGTCAAAGAGCAGAAGGCTCTCATGCATTTTTCAAGCAATATATATCAAGGAGAAATTCATTAATGGATTTCATAACACGATTTCAAAGGGCACTTTCCCATCAACGTCAAAATGAGTTACTTGCTGATTACATTGATGCATTTGAAAAGCCTCAATGTGCTTTATTGATGACAATGGATAAACAAATGGCTGAAATATACACAAAGGCAATGTTTCAAAGGTTTGAACAGGAGCTAATGCAAAGTTTACCGTGTTTTATGGAACTGATAAAGTGAGTGAAAGGAAAAGGGGGAAAACAAGAGTGAAAAAAGTTGTATATGATAAATATTCAGATCAATGGTCATGTAGTTGTAAAGGATTTGAATTTATTGGAATTCTTTATTGCCATGCGCTGGCATTGTTAAAAAGGGAGCAAATTGAATATCTGCCCAATAAATACATTTTGAATAGATGGAAGAAAACTGCAAAATCTGGACTTGTGTCAGATTCAAATGGCAATGAAATTAAAGATTCTGAGAACAATTCTCTCCTAATAAAGCGAAGTAGAATGTCCAGACTTGCTTCAGATGTAATTGAGCATGCCTTAATGTCCGAAGAAGGTTATGAGCTATTGTCGAATAATCTAAACGATTCGTGGGTGACGTTGAAGTTATTGAATGATGGGGTTGGTCCTAGTGAAGTTGGAGGGTCCAGCTCCCAAACACAATATTTGAAGGACCCTAAAAGAGTAACGCACAAAGGAAACTCGAAACGAGTAAAGGGAGCAAAGGAAACGAGAATGGAGCGAGGGATCCGACATTGTCAGCAGTGTGGACAAACTAGTCATGATATAAGACGATGTCCAAGAATGGCGAACACACCGTAAGATTGTACAAATATTTATAAATAATAGCTAAAATTCCAAGTGGTTTATTTTATTGTAATATTATGCTTGGTGTTTATGCAGGACATCCCCATCAAACAATGAAGAATCAACTTCGATCAATCTTAGTGACCCGTTATTCGATGAATTTGATAGCATGCACGGACCTACCAAGTGATTTATGTTTTTACTATACGAAGCTCATTTGCCGTCAATATTGGTGAGCTTCAATATGAAGAAATCTTATTATTTTGTGTTGTTTCATTTTGTATCAACTTTTGTGTTTTTTTCCTTGATTCGTTTCGGTTTTCTTTGAAGTTTTTTTGTTTCTCGATTGGTGGTGTTAATTTTTTGGAGCCTTTCTTTCTTGCTTTCTTTTGCCTTTGTATTTTTCTGATGTTAGTCATTTTAGGATTTTTTTTCTTTCTTTTAAATAATCTCCCTCTTGAGATATTTGACAATTCTTTTTTATGGCAGTTGGACCTAGATTTTTGGCTTATGGAAGATTGTTTTCGTTGAGAACCTTCATCAATTTGGCTTTTTTTATGACAGTTGGACCTATCAACTCTTAATTTTGACAATGCGCATGAAAGGTTGTCACATCCTTTTTTGAGAAAAGACATTATATACATTCGATGTATATTGCGTGTATATTGTTCGTCTATTGCTTGTTATTTCAAGCTTATTAATTGCGTATTGATTGTTCATTGTCTTTGTATAGCCATTTATTGCCTTTTATGATAATACGGGGACAGTACAAGGCAATTGGGGGCAATACTGTGGCAATATAAAGGCAATTACGGGCAATGCAGTGGCAAAATGAAGGCAATTGGAGGCTATATCGTGCCAATATTAGGGCAATATGAGGCTGTACATTGGCAATACAAAAACTCCAATAGTCCACGATTTTGGTGCACGATTTTGTAAACATTGCTATCTGAAGGATACATGAAATTTTGTGATAAGGTTATGGGATTATTTTGTACTAGTTATATGTTGTTGTTTGTATTTGTTCTTCTGCTACTTTTGCTATCTTTCTTTATAATATATGTTTGTGGAATCCCTCAAAGTAAACATATACTGAGAAAAAAAAAATAAGAGTGAAGATATAATCACTCATATAGACAAGGAGAAATATTATGTGATTGGACAATGCTTCTGAATAATGTGTGAGGTTTTTCAGAAAAAAATACGCTATTATTTTATGTGATTGGACTGATAGAGATACTTTACTGATTCCCCATGCGGTGTCATATTGACAACTTATTGAACACCTTTGACGTGTTCAAAGATTTAGATGCACGCACCCATGATGACTTCAAACCATTGTTCAATTATTATATATGTAGATTATTATAACAAAACATATACTTTTACAGCCTTATATATGAAAGGAAACTAATACTTGTATTATTAAAAATTAGATAATGAACATTAAGGAAATATACTTGTAATGTTGGTTATTGCAAAATATATTGAAGTGGAAGTTAATAAAGATATATAACAAAGGTTGAGAGGAAAGTGAGTTATCAAAATGCCTTTGGATTTTTCATTATGAAATGGATTATTTATAGCTTCCCCAAGTTTTATAATGTCACAAGGAGTTCCTAAGAATTTTCGGTGTATTTTTTGGATTTTTAATTGATTTATTATGAATTTTAGAAGTGAAATCAAGAAAAATATTATTAAATATTATAGGCAACATGTTGTTAAGTTATAGAACATCAACTAATATTTTATATTGTTTAGAAACAAATTTGAGTTTTCATTATCATTTTATATTTTTATAATTAAAATTTTATACTTTAAGATTTGAGGGTGTATAGAATGTCAGAAGGGGTTCCTAGAAATTTTATCTGCAATTTTTGGATTTTTAATTAATGTATTATGAATTTTAGAAGTTGAATTCATGAAAAATAATATGAAATAGTGTAGGGTGGCAGCAGCTGAAGATGGCGCCATTATCCAATAGGTGGCGTCCCATGATTGCTCCACATGTTGTTTTGATTATTTTTTTTCAAGTTTATATTTAAAATTTCATTCAAAATTTATAAAAAATACAACGAAAATTGCTACAAACTCCTTATGACATTATCTTCGACTCTGGAGATTGAAAATAAAGATTCCGCATATTTGAGTTCATGGTAATCATTGGATCAAAGAACACGAATATTAGGTTATAAAACATAAACTAGTGTTTTAGACTGCTTAGAATCAAAGTTGAGTTTTTATTATTAATTTACATTTGTATAACTCAAAATTGTACTTTTAGAGCGTGAATGTGTAGAGAATGTCACAAGAAGTTTCTAGGAATTTTCGATGTATTTTTTGGACTTTTAATTAATTTTTTATGAATTTTAGAAGTTAAATTCAAGATAAATATATTAAATCATACTGAGCGACATGTGGCCGCAGTTGAAGGTGGTGTCGTCAGTGTTTCCCTCAACAAGTGGCGACCCACGATTGGTCTATACCCTTTAATATTATTTTTCTTAGTATTTAAATTTTAAAATGCATAATAAATAAATTAAAAATCATAAAAATACATCGAAAATTGCTACAAACTCCTCACGACATCATTCTCGATTATGGAGGTCCAAAATCATGATTTAACATATTGGAGTTTACAATAATCGTTTGATCAAATAACTTGAGTGTTATGTTATGAAACATTAACTAGTGTTTTAAATTGTTTAGAAACAAAGTTGAGTTTTTGTTATCAGTTTATATTTTTATAAGTGGAAGTTATATTTTTAGAGTTTGAGGGCATAGAGAATGCCACAAGGAGTCCATAGGACTTTCTGGTGTATTTTTTAGATTTTTAATTAATTTATTATAAATTTAGAAGTTAAATCCCAAAAAAATAATTTTAAATTATAGGGAATCACACATGGCAATCCCAAAAAGGAGGGCTGTCATTATTTTCGACAGATGGCGTCTTACGATTGCGCCACATTTTATTATTATTATATTGTTATTTACCCTAAATTATTATTATATTGTCTGGATTGTGAATTATTATTATATTGTTATTTACCCTAAATTATTATTATATTACATTTAACCCTAAATTATTATTATATTCCTTTTTACCATAAACTATTATTATCTACCTTAAATTATTACTATATTAATTTTTACCCTATATTGTTATTATATTTTCTTTTACCCTAAATTATTATTATATTTCCTTTTACCCTATATTATTATGGGAGTTTCACTAAAATACCCAAAATGGGGGCTGAAATTATAAAAAAACCCAACACCCAAAACACTTTATAAACACACCCAAAAACCATCATTACACACACTTAAAATCCATTTATAAACACACTCAAAAAATATACAATTGTTGATTTTGAGGTTGATTTTGGGTGTGTTTCTATATTTAAATAGTGCTTGGGTTTTTTTATAAATACATGTCTAGGATTGGGTTTATTTATAAATTTGTATATTATTATTAAATTCTCACCTCTGTACCAAAATTTTATTTTATTCTTATATTGCTTTTTATCCTAAATGACTATTATTTTGCAATATCACGTGGATTTAAATGAAAAAATATATTTTAAACATAATTTAAATTTTAAAACAATTGTATTACAAGCTAAAAGATTATTTTTAAAATTTTAAAATTTATAAATATAAAAATAAAAAATAAAAAAAACCTTCAACTCTCTCTCTCTCTTTCTCTCCCCCTCACCCTTCGCCCACCCAACCCCCTTTACGCTATCTCTCCCTCCCTTTTCCAAGCCCCAACACCAACCACCCCGAAGAAAAAAAAACAGTACCCTGACCCCATCCCTTTTTCTTTCTTCTTTTAAGAGCACTTCCAGCAGTTGGAATCTTGCCATGGCAAGGGGGGGGGCTAGGGCTGATACTATTCACGGGAATAGTGTCTGCCCTTGCAAAAAGTAAATTGCACTTCCAGCAGTTGCCATGGCAAGGGGGGATACTATTCAATTTTTTTTGTTTTTTTCACAAATTTGTTTACCTAAACAATTAATTTGGACAATATTTTCGGATGAGATTTTTTGATAAAATATTCGGATAAGATTTTCATATAAGATTTCCAGTTTCAAATTTCAGATAAATTTTTTTTTTCAAACCCGATATAAATTTCATCTGAATTTCAAATTTCAGATAAATTTCATTTGAATTTCAACTTTTCATTTGAATTTCAATTTCAGATAAATTTCATCTGAATTTCAATTTCAGATAAATTTCATCCGAGTTTCAAATTTCGGATAAGATTTTCACCCTATAAAATTGCGCCACGTGTCATCTGAATTTCAAATTTTAGCTAAATTTAATTGGAATTTCAACTTTTCATTTGAATTTCACATTTCATATACATTTCATTTGAATTTCAAATTTCGGATAAGATTTTCACCCTATCAACTTGCGCCACATGTCATGTCTATCGACCTAAATTTTTCTATAAAACAAAGGCTCAGCTCACAAACCTCTCACACTACATCTTCTCAAAAATTTCAGTTCTCATATTTTAGATTTCATATTTCATCTTCCATTCACAATGTCAGACATGGAGGAGGTCTTGGATAGGCAAGAGCGAGAAATAAGAGAAAGAAGGCGTAGACGAGCAGCAAGCAAAAGAGCGCAGAGAGATCTAGATCAGCAACTTGTCATAGCTGTGGCCATGCTTGATGAAGAAAACCAGAGCAGTCGTGGTTCACATGAAGGCCGTGCCCCAAATGTTGATAGACATAGGCATTCTCGGGGTAAGAATCTTATGGAAGATTATTTTATCCCAACATCTCTGTACTCTGATGTTCATTTTCGAGGGAGGTATAGAATGCAACAACATTTGTTCAATAAAATCATGCATGATATTTGCAATTATGATGAATACTTTGTTCAAAAGAGAAATTGTGCTGGTGTTTTGGGACTGCTTCCCGAACAAAAGTTCACAGCTGTTATACGAATGTTGGCGTATGGTGCATCTGCTGATCAGGTGGATGAGATTGCCCGGATGGGGAAGTCCACTACCTTGGAGAGTTTGGTTAGATTTTGTGATGCAGTCGAAACTCTGTACACCAGGGACTACCTGCGCCGACCCACGCCCAGGGACCTGCAACGACTTCTGCAGAAAGCCGAACGGAGAGGATTTCCAGGAATGATTGGTAGCATCGACTGCATGCACTGGCAATGGAAGAA